TAACCATAGTGTTTGCAATGATTGCAGCAATGAGTTCATTTAAAAGCATGGGATTTGTGATGTGTTTTTTTAATGGATAAAAGAAGTTAAAAATGTGTGTGCCTTTCGACTATATAATAAGTTTTACTGTTAGGAGTGAGTGGCTATCACTCCTAACATGTGAACATGTGACTATGTATTGGTCATTGATAAGCTGGCCTCTTTTTCTTTAAAAGTCATAAAAATTAAGTCTGTATATTATTCATGCATTTCTTCATTCATTTAATGTATAGCTATTTAATATTTACTATATTTAAATGCTGAAATAGGGACTAAGAATGGTGAATAGGAAAGACATAGTCTTTATTTTCAGTGGATTTCTATTTTAATCAGAAGATAGACACTAAACATTAAACCAGGTATTATTTAATTGCATTTGTGAAAATTGCTGAGGAGAAACTTGTAGGAGCCCCGGACTTAGTAAAATTAAGGAAAAAGAGTTAGTGAACAATGTTCTAGGCAAATGAAATAGCTGAGCCACAAGACAGGAGGGGAGAGGGGTGGGATTGTAGAGCTAAAGGACATTAGAATTGGAGTCCAGAGTGCTTGTCATGGCATACAAACCCCTGCCTCATCCCATTTCATAAATCTCTCCCCACCCACCCCTGGAATCATAAACATACACAGTAGATGGTAAATTAAGCCACGTGATTGTTGGGATTACCTAGGGGTGGTAAAAAGAAAGCTGGGTCAGTAACAAAACCTTGAGAAACTTCTACAGTCAATGTTTAGGTAAAGGAGGTTGAACCAGCAAAAAAGACTAAGAATGATTGGTCAGAAGCCAAGCATAAGGAGGTGACTAGACACAGCATATACTGCTGATGGGAAAAAGGTAAAGTCTGACAGATTACAGACCAGACTTAAGTTTTAGAACTAGGATGGATGCTATGTAGAGAAAAATAGGAAAAGATTCTAGAACACTAGTGGATCTGAGGTCCCAATGAGATCCAAGTATAGTCTTGGTGAAAGCACTCTAGGAAGTGAGAGCATTCGCTGTAGTAGAGAGAGAGACACTCTACTTGAGGACAGGAGATTAGGTGAGAGAGGAGGACATTTAGTGATTTTGAAAGTGGAAAATGTTCAGGTTATGTCAGGTTTCAGACTTGACTCTGGGCGTGAAAGGCTAAGGTAGAGAAATGAAAAGTCCATTTGTAATAAGGAGATCCAGTCAAGGTGTTGAATGGAATGTTTGTGTAGATGTGAACATCATTCAGGATCATGGGGCTAGAAGAGAAAACAATAATCCAGTCTTTTTATGAAGGATGAATTGTGACTAGAGATTAGTAGGTAAATGATACCAGCAATAAAGGAGATAGTGCATAGCTAGATGGCAAGAATGTCAAAGCAGCAGGGATTTTTTGAAAGGAGTTAAGGATGCAATGGACAGCACTAGGTGCCAGAGTATCATCAGCCTGAGGGTATCTAGGGTGTTGAGGAATAAGCAGCCATCTTCATTTGCAACAGAAGTGCTGTCCTCAGTGGAGAGTGGAATTTTAGTCAAGGTTGGAAGGTAGAGGAAATGTTCTGAAAGAAAGTTAAGTATGCAGTGAAATTTCCAAAGGCACAGTGGAAGAATCTGAGAGATAGGAGAGAAGAGAGGGAGAGAGAGATGGGGGCAGAGTGGGAGGTGGGGTGGGGCAGGGAACTGGTGCTCAGTGGAGAGCAATTGGCAGTAAAAAATGGAGCATTATGGGAATTTTATTGTAGCAGAAAATCAATACCTGGAGATGGTTTGAAGACTCAGGGACCTGGAGGGAAGGGCTAAGGAAACAAGGATTAGAGAACATGTCAGGGTTAGTAGCTTAAGAGATGACTGCCTCACTAGGGCCTGGGAACAGGAGCTTGGCTGTAATAACTAAAGCAAAGAAGAGCCTGGAAAGCCTGACAGAGCTTCACTAGAGGAGACCAAAATGTGGGGACTACCTCTAGCAAAGTGGGATTTTTAATTGTTGAAATGCTAATAGGCTAATATTAGCATTAAATGCTAATATTATAAAATGTCCAACCTCATGGAAGCAACCTAAGTGTCCATTGACAGACGAATGGATAAAGAAGATGTGGCACATATATACAATGGAATATTACTCAGCCATAAAAAGAAATGAAATTGAGTTATTTGTAGTGAGGTGGATGGACCTAGAGTCTGTCATACAGAGTGAAGCAAGTCAGAAGGAGAAAAACAAATACTGTATGCTAACACATATATATGGAATCTAAAACCAAAAATGGTTCTGAAGAACCTAGGGGCAGGACAGGAATAAAGACACAGGCGTAGAGAATGGAGATGAGGACACGGGGAGGGGGAAGGGTAAGCTGAAGTGAGAGAGTGGCATGGACATATATACACTACCAAATGTAAAATAGATAGCTAGTGGGAAGCAGCCACATAGCACAGGGAGATCAGTTCGGTCCTTTGTGTCCACCTAGAGGGGTGGGATAGGGAGAGTGGGAGGGAGACACAAGAGGGAGGAGATATGGGGATATATGTATATGTATAGCTGATTCACTTTGTTATAAAGCAGAAACTAACACACCATTGTAAAGCAATTATACTCCAATAAACATGTTAAAAAGGAAAAAAAAAAAAAAAGGAGAGAAAAAATAAATAAATAAAATGTCCAACCTGCCAGAGGTTTGTACCAAGAAACACCAGGCCTTTGCAATACTTGATCCATTCTGACCAAGAGTTCATTTTCTCTCCTCAACCTTTCATGTTAAGCTTTCAGGTTTAACAATTTTATTTAAATTCTGCGTTTCTTCTCTGAAGTCTGGGATATACTATAAATTACATAATTTGCATGAACTTTTTCTAACATTTCAATTCCTGACTTAATATCATTCAATTCCTCACTTAATATCATCAATTGAATTTGGTATGAAAAAGCAGGAAGCTACATTCCTTCTTTAATCTAGTTTATTGCTCAGTATTGAGAAACTATGATTTAATACTCATCTAATAACTTGAAATAATAATACTTTTTCCAAAGTATCTAATTCAAAATCAGGAAAAGTATTTTTTTTCAAAGCTATGTGATAGTACATGCTTGACAATAAATTTAAAAATTCATATCAAGTGATGGACTTAGCTTTCTGTGGGCTGTGGATGAGTCAAATGTAAACAAGCGTAGTGGGTTAGTTCTAGTTAATATCAACATTCAAACTCTGATCTTTTGAGTTGTCCCTGGTAGTACCGTCAGGATTCCATCTTTTGTCATTTAAGAAGGAATTTGAGAATTATCTACAAATGACTTACCACACTCTTAATTCTCTGCTTAAACAGTTTAAGAAATTGTAGTTGAACAATTTAGAGACTAAGTTATATTTATGTTTATATTCTCACAATACTCCTAGTATCTGGGATACTATATATAAATGGTTGTTGGATGTGCCAGTTATCTATTGCCACGCAATGCTGCATACTCACCAGAAAAACTTAGTGGCACCCAGTAAAAAACACATTTTTCATGAGGCTCTGGGGTTCAGCTGACCTGAATTAGTTTTAGCTGATCTGGGTTGGGTTTGCCCAAATATCTGAGTCTCTTCTGGCTGTTGGTTGTCTTAGCTTGGATGACTAGGGTAACATGATTCTGTTTTCTGTCCTGCTCGACCTCCAGAAGACTAGTCTAGGCATGTTCTCATGGCACAGGGGAAGGACAAGAATGAGCAAAACCAATTGTGCAAGCATCTTTCAACTCTCTGTGTCACATGTGTCAATATTCCGTTGGTCCAGAAAAAATCACATGGACAAGTCAAAAGTCACAGTAGGAGGGTACTGCAAGATTACACAGAAAGGACATGTATACAGAGAGAAGTGAAGAATTGGGGCCATGGGTGCAACTGGTCCACCACATTGAATGAATAAATGAACAAATGGATCACAGAATGATGGGAAGAGCACTGGGCTAAGGGTTGGGAGACATATCCCTGAGGCGTGGGTGGCACTGTTCATTCTATTAATTTGGGTAAATTGTTTAATCATTCTGGACCCTAATTTCCTTATTGGCTCTTTCCAAGCTTTAAAAGCCTTTGATTCAAGCTTTTAATGAATATTTAATGAATTTAATGCTGTACACAGTCTGTAAGAGAAACTTAAGGAAAGTTGTTCATTATGCTATCCTTTAGTGAACCAAAATGGCTAGTGTGGATGGCCAAAATTCACTGGCTACTTTTGACTCTATGAATCTGAATTTTTTTTTTTTTTGAATCTGAATATTTTGTAATCAGATTCAAACTGAAAAACTTCTATTCTGAATTTCGCTATGAAGCAATGTGCTGAAAGTTCAGTTTCCTTTTTAGGTCTTTCGTGTTTGTTCCTATCTGATGATTCTTTTGAAGAATACAATATGTCAGTACTACATCAAACACGATGACATTTCTTATATGTGAGATGTGTTTTAGAGTCCATTGATGTTTTGCCTTAATAATTCATTGTTAGGATGAATTATCATTCTAAAATTGACTAGAGGAGCTTTATCAAATTTGTATAACGCTGGTAAAAATGTGGGTTATTTTAAAGTAAATATTATGATTAGTTTTATAATATAAAAGGTACAGATAATACAAAATGAATCCTCTTCATTATATAATAAATAATTATGTAATATGTAATGAAATGCTGGATTACTAAACTATCAGAATAAAAACTGAGTGAAAAAGTTGTAAATAAAAATATTTTATAAGCTCCACAAGAAGAAAGTAATATACACAAATGGTCTCTGAAGATGATATTCTGTGTCTGAGATGACTTCTTATTTTAGTCACTTAGATTGCCTAAAAAATTCAACACCTAGATTACCAAAATAGGTTGATGAAGATATAATCTGTAACTCACTCTGACATATAGAATGTTCTGTTTCAGATATACAGAAATAACTTGCCATATGATAAATGTTTATCCTTGTCCTACCTCTGGGAAACATTTAGTTTGGACTGATAATTTACTTGTGAAATCAATCACCCAGCCTATGTCATTTCAGAGTCTCCATGTAGACAGATCCAAGAAGCTGCACTCAAGTCAAGCTGGCCTGGATTCCAAAGTACCAGTTGGTTGTCAAAATGATTTGGCTGATCTGGAGAAAGAGAAGAGAAAGACTGGGAAAACTGCAGTAGCAGGCACCAGTGCAACCACAGGTCCGTTAAGCCACATGATATTGGCTTTAACTGCCTTTATAACAGATGCGCAATGTACAGCTTCTTACTGCCATTTTATTTGGAATATATGACGTAGTCAAAGTGATGGACCTGACCTGCGAATCTCACTGAAATTTAGTTTTAAGTGAAGCATAGTATTAAGCACTCATATTGATGATAGGTCTGTTCATTGTTTGCTGTTATTAGGTTTTTCTTCTCATTTATGGTTTTCATGGCCAAGGAAGTGTTCTATTTTAATGTTGCTTTTATTATCATGACAGTAATATGTTTAAATGTTTGCTAAAATTAACAAGAAGGTTTAATGGCTTGAGAAGATGTCAAAATAATTGAGATGCTTTTAATTTTAAAAGTGTCAGATGAGTGACCTAATGCAGACTTGAATTATAATAGTTTAGTTTATAGAGATGGCGATCTGATATTTTTCATCTCTACTAAAAGCAAAACAAAAGAAAATGGACTTGTGGAGAAGTTGATATCATTCAATTAAGCTACCCAGACTAACTTCCATATTGTGGAAATCTTGGATGAGTTAGCACGGGAAATGAGAATTTTCTTTCTTGGCAATATTTTAAACACACCAAAGAAGCTCAATTTCATTATACTTTATCTTTAAAACTTCACATTTCATTTGTAGATAAGTTGAAACTGTAATTATTCTTAAGCATATGATTTGTTCTTTTCCCCTCCTTATTTGATTTTGTAGCCAGCACTCTTTTTTCCTCCCAGGGCATGTAAAAGTCAAAATACTACATATAAAGTCTCTAAAGTGTTTCTGCTGAAACTCTGTACAATTTGGGTTCTTTCATGTAGTTAACTTACTGGCTTCTGACACTCCTATAAAAATATCCCATAGAGCTTTTCTTATTGCCTTTTCATTGACTCTTTCTGAATGATAAAAATGAAATTCTGTAAAGGGCTTTGAAAACCATGCATATTGCAATTCCTCCAAATTTCAAATACTAACCAAGTGTGACTATAAAAGAAACAACTACTGCAGTGAAGATTACTGCACTGTGTTGAGTCTCAGGCTGTTATTAATTCATTGGAAACTATTTTTTCCTTAAGATTATGGATCCTAAAAGGTACCAGATAATACAATTGCTGAGATCAAAGTTTTTGTTTCAATCATAGGAAAACTTATTATCTGATCTTCCCCTGTGTGTGCATCTTCCTGGGATGCTATGTGACAGCCCCAAGTTTGCGCTCTGAATGAATAGTGCAGAGTATGTTACAGACCAGGGCAGAAACTGCTTTGAACCTATTGCCTATTAGTGATGGTTTAAGAAAAAAAGAGGACCTGAAATTAAAGTGATGGTTCTACTAACCATCACTTAGTAGTGATGGTTAGTAGTAAGACTTACTAACTTTACTCAAGAGAGTAAAGTGAAATCTCCTTTCTTACATTAATTTCAACATGCATTTATTTAAAAATTACCTAGTATGTGGATCTGGGCAATATTTTCACTTGCTTTCCCATTTGAAATTACAATAAATTATAGAGTCTATCTTCATTATGAGTTATAATTGAATGACAATTCCATACATAAAAATACAAAAGTAAAGCAGAAATATAATTCTTCAAAATTCATTTTTTTCTTGTGAAATATTATATATTTTCTTCATTAAAAAAACCTCTTTTGATCTGTACTTAACATTTACTGTACTTGGAATGGATAGCTCATCTGTGAATATTCATTAACCACCTTGGAGTTCAGGATAAGCAAATCATACTCTTTCTGAGCTTTCTCCTCTTTTAAAATTTGAGACATAAGTCAGTCATTTCCTAAATTCTCTTTGGATGAAAATGGCAGTTTTAGAGGCTCTGTGGCGTATCACAGAGAAAACAAAGCAAAACAAAACAAAAAAAACGTATTAAGACAGGGGAGCTGCATCTCCAGTTTTGCTCCTTCTAGACACCCAGACCTTATTCTTTCAGTTAGATGAAGTGGAACCATCTCAGATGTGTATCTAATAATTATACTAAAGGGAAGTCTTCATTTTGAAATCCTCTGTAGACAACTAGAAGATTCGCTGTAAATGGCTGAACACATGTTATCTAATGAGAGTTTGCTCTGTTGAAGCCAGGAGCACAGGAAACTCTACCTCCGGATTGGTGCTGTCATTCCCAGCTCCTCTTCAGTTAAGAAGCTGGTGAAAATGCTTCACCAGATCTCATGGGTGACCTTCCTCTCTGGGTCCCTGATTCACTCTGCTTACTCAACAAGGCCCATGTCTTATTTGGGGAACATTGTTATTAAGTCTGCACGTTGTTTTGTCCATAAATTACTAAACGAACAGTTCTTTAAAAGTAGGATGATTAAGTGGTTAACTTTTGGAGTCTGAACTTAAGACTGCTGGGTTTAAACCTTGGCTCCCCTACTCGCCAGCTGTGTACCATGTCTCTATCTCTTTATTTGTAAACTTGGGTTAGTAATAGCGCTACACCATAGGCTATTTTGACAACTACATTAGATAAAATAGGTTAAAGTTAGTATAGTACATAATAAACTCCAGTTGAATCATAGCTATGCTAATTAACTTCTGCATATTTATGAGTTGATGGCCAAGGAAAAATTTGCTTCCTGACAGTATATTTTGCAAAGTGCTGGCTGTGACCACCTGATGTGGCTCTTGCAGTCTCTGAGTTTCTGTCTGTACTTTTTTCCTTTGAGAACCTGTATCCTCTTGGGAATTTCCTCTATGAATTCTATGGATATGGGAAGTGATTAGAAATCTTTTGGAGATGAGTCACTGAGTCCTCTGAGTCTAAGAAACAATACAATTGTGCAGAGGCATGGAAGCCCTGAGCCTCCCTAATGGACCCCTTCCCCTCCTTAACTCAGCTGCAGTAGCTCAGGAAGAGCACAGAGCTTCCCTGTTTAATCAGTGGCAGTGCTATTGTTGGTAGATGACATGTGTTAAGTGCAAATGTTTGTTTTAAGCTGTTTGTTTTATGTCCAGTTCCCAGGATGAACTTGCAAGTGGAAAGTTTATTGAGAAGTACTCTCAGGAACAACACATAAGGCAGAGGAACGAAAGCAGGTCTGAACAGAGGGAGAAGTGAAATCATAATAGAGTCACAAGAAAGACCTCAGCTGATCACACAGGGAGCTCTGGAGCTGGCGTGGCTCTTCAGAGTTGTCTTGTATTAAGGCGAGGGGACCAGGTTTTTATAGCCCCTGCGTCAGTCGATCATTGGAAGCAGCTGCCTTTGAGAAGGGGGCATGACTGTGGGCAAGGTGACTTCCTTTAGCCAAAGTCATTTGGTATCAGAGGATTATCATTTAGTTGTGAGAAGGATCTGATTATTATGTAGGTCACACATTAATTGCAGAGATTGCTTCTGGTGATCTGACTGGCTAAATAGAAGGCCGTTTTCTTTTTTCCTCTTTATGTGTGTATCTAGAAACTGCGATCTTTGCCAGAAAGGATAATCTTTTTTTTTTTTTTTTTTTTTTTTTTTTTTTGCGGTACGTAGGCCTCTCACTGTTGTGGCCTCTCCCGTTGCGGAGCACAGGCTCCGGACACACAGGCTCAGCGGCCATGGCTCACGGGCCCAGCCACTCCGCGGCATGTGGGATCTTCCTGGACCGGGGCACAAACCCATGGCCCCTGCATTGGCAGGCGGACTCTCAACCACTGCGCCACCAGGGAAGCCCCGAAAGGATAATCATTTAAAATTTACCTATTTGGTTTTACTCTACATAAATGTTCTCTACTTAGTAAATTTTATATTCTCCTGATCAACATTCTCTAATGGAATTTCCTTGCTTTTGAAGCTTCTACTATATTCTAATTATTCTTACATCTTTAGACTCATCCTCCATTAATTAGACTTGTCAAGTAGTGAGAAGACCCCTGGGCCAGAAAACAAAAGCAGGTACCATAAGGTCTAGTCCCAGCTCTGTACATCCTAGATGTGCAGTCTTTCACAGGCCATTTTATTTTTCTGAGTTATATTTCCCTCATCAAAATAAGAGGTACCCCAGGAAATTTTTGTGCCCTGTCAATTCTGAAAGCATGTGATTACATGGCCTATTCTGATATCATAGAGTCACGGCGCTGTTGTTCACCTGTAAGTAAGACCCACATAGAAATGATTCACGACATTTAGGGACATTCTTATTATGGTAAATTAAACAGGTAACAGGAAACAAGCTCCATGGAAAAGCTCTTCACCGAGGTCAAGATGGAAGCTAGAAAGAAAGAATGCATTTATAGGAAGGTAAAGAAGTCTTCATACTGAGCTTTAATTCAATCTTATTTTTATTTTTTAACATCTTTATTGGAGTATAATTGCTTTACAATGGTGTGTTAGTTTCTGCTTTATAACAAAGTGAATCAGCTACACATATACATATATCCCATATCTCCACCCTCTTGCATCTCCCTCCTACCCTCCCTATCCCACTTCTCTAGGTGGTCACAAAGCACCGAGTTGATCTCCCTGTGCTATGCAGCTGCTTCCCACTAGCTATTTTACATTTGGTAGTATATGTAAGTCCATACCAATCTCTCACTTCATCCCAGCTTCCCCTTTCCCCTCCCTGTGTCCTCAAGTCCATTCTGTACATCTGCATCTTTATTCCTGTCCTTCCCCTAGGTTCTTCAGAAACATTTTTTTCTTTTTTTTCTTTTAGATTCCATATATATGTGTTAGCATACGGTATTTGTTTTTCTCTTTCTGACTTACTTCATTCTGTATGACAGACTCTAGGTCCATCCACCTCACTACATATAACTCAATTTCATTTCTTTTTATGGCTGAGTAATATTCCATTGTATATATGTGTCACATCTTCTTCATCCATTCATCTGTCGATGGACACTTAGGTTGCTTCCATGTCCTGGCTATGGTAAATAGAGCTGCAAGGAACATTGTGGTACATGACTCCTTTTGAATTATGTTTTCTCAGAGTATATGCCCAGTAGTGGGATTGCTGGGTCATATGGTAGTTCTATTTTTAGTTTATTGAGGA